TACTCCTTCCGTCCCATAATTATTGTCCAGTTTGGGTTTTCATTTCTAGTTTAAATCATACTATAATTGAAATCTCAAACTGGACAATAATTTTAAGACATAGGAGTACTACAATTTATCTCCATATGTTGGTAAAAAGTTAGTTACCAATTGGAAAAATTTTACGAAAAAATTCTAATGTATAGTTTGAGCTTAATTTTTTTTGAAACTGTAGTTTGAGCTTAATTAATTACCACAAGCGCCTTGATCTTTCGCTTCTGTAACAGCACCTTTCTTTCTCCAATCGATCTTGGGAGGGGAACACGTCTCAACATTTTCATCATCCTGACCAGCTTGGATGATATGCTCCAAATTGAAGCCATATTTTGGATGAAAAGGATGGTAAAAATGAAAATAAGAAAAGGGAGTTTAACTGTAAGGATAAGAGGGCTTGATGCATTTTGGTTTGGAATATTATGAGCTATTTATTGAGTTCATTGTAGTATGTATGGCTTCTTTCACTTCGAGATCATCCTGTGGAAATAAATGTAGTATCAACAACTAGTTCGGATTTCATTTGAATAATTACGTGTTCAACTATAGTAGACACATGCTGACACAATTACACAAAGACAATCAAAGCTTAATTGCATGTGCATATAATGTGGTCCAGTAACTAACATGATCTAAGAATTTCAAGGAAACAAAATTTGTATAATATCAATCAGTTAAATGAAGACAAATCGGTTGGTGTCTTTTACTGTATTGGTGTTATGAAATTTGTTTGGAGTTTCGTTATCCTGTAATTGCATTGTTTTCTGGACAAAGTAAGTTTGGGGAGAGGCAAATTTTATATTTGTTTATGTACATGAGCATGTCCATTTGGAGCTGGAAGAGTCATGGTTGACAATTCTTTTTGCTCTGTGATAATAATAGACTAGATCAAAATGACTGTAATAAATTCTAGTATTTTTTTCTATTAGTGAAGCTAAAGGAAATAATATATCAAATGATGCAATATACATTGGGACACAATGGACATAATCTCTTTGTGGAATTACATGGATAAATCTACGTGCAACTGATCCAGTAGATGTTATACTGGGTATGTTGATCGCTGTTGATTACATACATGAGCATCTAGAATGACAAGTGGTGTAAATGTGTGTCAAGAATATAAAATGTTTAACAATAATGATTTTGATATTTAAAAGCAAACGCCAGAAAAACAATCCCGAACAAACCGTCGTGAAAAAATGAAAATGAAAGGCAAATGTGAAAATCCATTTTGTGTACATTAAGTGAATGGAGTATGGGTAATTTAGAGAGGTCTTACAACCTGCGTAATAGTGTATTATGCACATGCATCATTAAGAAAGTCTGGCTAAATTTGTTATTCTATTTGGTAATTTCAGTGTCGGATACGAATAAAAGTTAAAATAAGTAACATGAAGGGGGTGAAAATCGCTTAGCAAAAGTTGAAAACGACGAAAGTTTAGAAGGAGAGGAGGTCTATTAATTATCTTTTAAGTTATAAAATTTACATTCATACGAAATAGGAATCGACATATTTTGGTTTATTATTACTCATTCTGTTGGGTAAAGAATCTCATTGGCCGTGCTTAGGATCTGAGACCTGTTTATAAGCTATAAGGGCCACCCCACTTCTTGCTAATTGATTTTGAGATGGGAGCCCAAATACTTTGACATAGTATCAGAGCTAGCCCACGGCTTATACTTTATATTATGTTTCTTCTATTTCTCTTGACTGACCTGAATGGATAAATTGATCCATAGACAGAGTTCGACCGACCATTTGAGCTTGGACTCATGGGCGACGTTGACTTCTTTCTCCGACTTATTTGGGCTTCGACTCATAGGCGACTTTCAATTCTTTCTCCGACCCACTGAGCTATGACCCATGGGCGATTTCTCGTTTTTGTTATTGCAAGCCCATTGGGTAAACTCTCCATTGGGCTCGAAAGATCCTATTTTTTATTTTTTCTAATAATCTTCTTATTTTCAAGTTTAGTCCCTGTTACTTTTTTCTCTCTCTTCTAGAAAAACATCTCTAATATTCAAACGATCATATCTTTCAATCCGTGAATAATTAGAAAACGTGTTATACATGAATTTTATTGTATTTGTCGAGATCTATCAAACAAGATCCATGTCGAATATTTTTTCTAAGTTTAAAAATGACTAAATTTCGATGGGCAGAATAAGATGGATATCTAGTTTAGAAAAATGGATAACCCAATTCATTTTAAATTGGTTATCCATTGTGTTTATGCTAATTATCCAACCAGTTAGAACTGGTTATCCAACTGGTTTGTATGCCTATTAAACTTTTTTGTAATGGATATCCCACTTGTTTGTATTGGATATCCATTTCATTTGTACTGGATATCCAACTCGCTTGTACTGGATATCCATCCATTTGGTTTATATGTTTATCCAACTTGTTTTGTAGTTTTAATCCAACAAGTTTGTATGCATATCCAACTTGTTTGTGCTGGATATCCAACTCGCTTGTACTAGATATCCAACTTGTTTGTACTGGATATCCATCCATTTAGTTTGTATGCCTATCTAACTTGTTTGTAGGCACTGGATATTTATCCAACTTGTTTGCAGTGGATATCTATCCATTTGGTTTGTATGCCTATCCAACTTGTTTGTAATGGATACCCCACTTGTTTGTACTGGATATCCAACTTGTTTGTACTGGATATCCATCCATTTATTTTTTTATTATTATTATAATTTTGAAAAAAAATGGTTGTCCAACGTGTTCGTATTGATTATCCAACTGTTCTGTATAGATTATCCGACCATTTTTTTTCTCTACTCTTTGCGAAAATCATTGTCTAATTTTTTTGTACTCACCATCCAACAGTTTTGTATGCCTTATCCAATCGTTTTTACTGATTATCCAAACATAATTTCTCTTCTTTTTTTTCTTCTTTTGAGAAAAAATCTGTCCAATGTGCTCATACTGATTATCCATCCAACTTCTCGATGATGGATGGTTATCCGACTTTTTTTTCCTTGCTCTTTTAATGAAAATGATTGTCCGATTTTTTTTTTGTACTGGTTATCCAACCAGCTTGTACTACTTATCCAATTATTTTCAATGATTATCCAAATTGTTTTTAATGCTTATCCAAATATTTTATTTTTTATTCTTTTCTTCTTTTTTTTTTTGAAGATGAGTGAATGTAAAAAATATGACTAGATAAAAAGTACAAACAAAATGGATAATCAGTCCAAACCGATTAGATAGATCTCGTCGAGCACTATAAAATTCATATATAATTCGTGTTCTAATTTTTTACGGATCAAGAAATATATGTAATACAAGAATATCAATCTAAACTAAGTTGGTTATCCATCTTCTTTTTTCTTTTTTTCTTTTTTGAAAAGTGAATGTAAAAAATATGATTGGATAACCGGTTGGATAATCAGTTTGAACACAACGAATAATCATTTTTCAGTTTATTCATTTCTGCCCGTAAGATTTAAATGCATTTAAAGTTCAAAAAAAATATTCATCATTGATCTTATCGGATAGATCTCGTCGAGCACTATAAATTTTATATATAATTCGTATTATAATTCTTTACAGATCAAAAGATATAAGAAACACAACAATATGAATGTAAAATAAGTTGGTTATCCATCTTCTTAAACTGGATATCCAATGTGTTTATATTGATTATCCAACTTCTTTGTGGTGGTTATCTAGTATTTTTTTCCCTTGCTCTTTTATGAAAATAATTGTCAAACTTTTTTGTACTGATTATCCAACGTGTTGCACTAATTATCCAATTATTTTCTATTGATGATCCAAATTGTTTGCAATGCTTATCCAATCATTTTTTTCTTTCTTTCTTTGTTTTTTTCTTTTTTTTGGAAGAGTGAATGTCAAAAATATGATTGGATAACAAGTACGAACAGAATGAATAATCGGTCCAAACCAGTTAGATAATCAGTAGGAACACAACGGATAACCATTTTTCAAAGAAAAACGAAAAACACATTTCTTCATTTCTGCCCGTAAAATTTAAATGCATTTAAAGTTCAAAAAAAATATTCAAAAGATAGATGCATAATTCGTATAAATTTCTTATCGGATAGATTTCGTCGAGCACTATAAATTTTATGTATAATTCATATTCTAATTCTTTACGGATCAAGAGATATATGAAATACAAGAATCTTAATCTAAACTAAACTGGTTGTCTATCTTTCTAAACTAGATATCTATCTTATTCTACCCATCGAAATTTAGTCATTTTTAAACTCGAAAAAAATATTCGACATGGATCTTGTTGGATAGATCTCAACGAATACGATAAAATTCATTTGTAACACGTTTTCTAATTCTTCGCGGATTGAGAGATATGGTCGTTTAAAGATTGGAGATGTTTTTTAAAGGAGAGAAAAAAAAATCAAAGGGACTAAACGTGTAAATTATAGAATGTTATTTAGAAAAATGGAAAAAAGTGTAGTAAGGACTAATAGTGTAAAAAATAAGAGAGGCAGTATAGTGTCCCCGGGTATACTGGATAGAGACTCAAAGTTACTATACCAACGTAAGGTTTCCAATAAGTTATCTGAGTTAGAAACTGAAATTCCATCGGAAGTAAGGTAAAGAAATCAGAAAGAAGTCACTATTAACGAAATTTAACTTGTTCAAATAAGAAGAACGTACGTATATTTCAGGAAGTCAGGCATACATATTCAACGGCGTCATGTCACACTCAAAGCACTATATTTTTCATCGTTGAAAAGAAAAGAAAAGTTACAAGTCAAAGAAAACACAAATGAGACGAGTAATGATATATATATACAGGTGAAAAAATAAACAACTAAACAAAACTACGATTTACATTTCTTATACTCAGTCTGAACTAAAATTATTGTCCATTTTAAATTTTTATTTTTAATGTTAAAAATAAAAATCTAAAATGAATAATATTTTTTTCAAAAATTTAAACTAGACAATGGTTTTGTGAGGGAGAAAGCAATTAATATGCGACTAGTTCCTAAAACAAATCTAAAGTTGGAACTTGGAACTTAAGTACGACCCAAAAATTAAAAGAAGTCCACTCGATCGGTCAAGTCGGGAGTAGTTCGGACGTGGTTTACACACTTTATTAAGAATTATTACGTGGTTCTTGTACAAAAAGCAAAAACTACACTTGCACCCACAAAAAAAAAAACACCAACTATACGATGTAATGTATCGTTCTCTTTTAAATGATTTTAGATTACTAATTCAGCATACTGAGCTGAGCTTTGATACAAATTTGTGGCCTGATATGCATCTATATCCAGGCAGAGATCACAAATTGTTTATAGGAAATAACATAAACTCAACTAGACGTTCATATATGGAACTGAAGTAATTATGATCGATCCAACAACCTTTAAAAGAAGTGCATAAGATAAGATAAACAAAATCCCTGTAAATTAATTTGAAAAGATATATAAGTGTGGTTTGTTTAGGCAATTTTCAACCCTAGGCAACGGGGTAAGCAGGTTTCATTGCAATACCACAAAGGCCAGCAGGACCATAATTCCTTTGCATCCGGATGTATCCACCTTCACCCCAACCCTCTCCCCAAGAGTTCTTCACCAACCAATAATCCATCCCTTCCTCACTCTTCCCATAACCGACCACCGTAACCGCGTGGTTTAACCGGTTCCCACACGGGCCGGTAAAAACACCTCGATCATAGAACTGGAAGTGCCCCTCACCGGCATCGATGGACACCGATACCGGTTGGTTGGCCACCGCGGCCAGGAGCGCGCCCTCGTCGTTCGAGGGCACGTGCTCATAACCTTTGATGGCGGCGGCCGGATTATCGTCCGCGTTCGCTTTGCATTTGCCGTCGGCACCAACGTAGCGGTAGCTTGCTTCGCTCATCAGGCCGTTGTTGGAAGCGATCCACTGTAATGCATCAATCTTGGAACCTCCGCCGCAGCCATAATTTCCACGACTACAATCTACAAGTTCCTGTTCGGACAATGAGATCAGATTTCCGGTTTTTATTTGGTGAATTCCTTCCACTGCTGCCACAGCTGAAAACGCCCAACAAGATCCTGTGTAACAAATTATAGCAATAAGTTATATATATATACATGCATGCAGAATATGTAACATTTCTGTCTTGTATACATCCAGAATAGTTAACCCAAGTTATAAGTAAACTGACAAGCCTAAAAAAAATATCAGGGTTGTTGATTGTTTTAACTTACCACAACTTCCCTGATTCTTGACTGCTGTAACTGCCCCCTTGGCTATCCAATCCAGGCTTTCTGGAGCTGAATTTAAATCAAAATTTTCATACCTGAATGAATTACTACTATTTGGGTTGAATCCTGTTGGCTTTGGGTTTGGCAAGTATCCATTGTGAGTAGCTTTAAACTCCTCATTTGTCAAATCACCAAAAGGGTTCATTGCCAACCTGTAGGAACGGTTTTCAGCCTTGTTGAATGCCTCAATCATCTCAAAATTCTCGTTGAAAATCTTGAAACGAAGGGCTTTTTCGGCATCGGACGCGTAAATGCGTCCGTGTTGCGACATCCATTGCTCATGTCTTTCGAGCAACGAGGCTTGGTTCAATCTCCGGGACATCGCCGGAGATGTCAAAAAAACCAGCATTATTACTATTTCTAATGCCATAAAGAAAAGGTTGGAAGTCACTAATTTCGAAGTCATTGATCAGAAATGTGGAGAGATTGAAGAACTAGTATGTGATTAGTAGTAATGTTGTAGTGTAATATTTCCGTATGGTTTGGCTCTTATTTATAGGGAAATTCAGGAAGGAAAAAGATGTAGAGTGAACGAAAATTCGATCCAAATCATGTCTCCCATAACAGCTGTTCCTCAATATTATTCTTCGTCTTCGAGTTGAACAATATTTTCTCAAAATAAAAGCTGTCAAAAGGATCTTTCGAAGGCCGATTCTTTCAATCACTATCTACAAATATTTTACCATTTCATGAGAGCCTATTAGTTGGTATGAATAAAATACCTTGATTATAATTTCTAATTTATGGCGAACAAAGTTTACCAAAATATTTATCAACAATTTTTTTTATCCTTTTATGATTAATTTAAAATAAATAAATTCTCTATTCTAGAAAAGTGGTCTAATTTGGAAAATAAAATCTATAGAGTGGATGACGTAATATTTCAAATGATGATTAAAATTAGTATGAAAAAATTTAATACATGCATTAGTGAGTATATATCAAACGAGTAGTCAGTAGGGCGAAAGTAATTTAGGGTGTAACCGATCATATATCGACCTCAAGTAGAACCCAATCAGGAAATTGTTAAGACTGTTTTATTAGAAGTTTGCCATTGGCTCAATCAGGAAATTGTTAAGACTGTTTTATTCCCACGATGGATGTAATGCCGTGCCTCCTTATGTATGGAAAAATGAAATTAAGTCCAGAAGAGAGTTGGTAAAGTTATAGATCGTTTTGATTTGTCTTAAATTTTATCTAGTATGTTATTTGAAAATAAAATCTTGAATATTTTACAGTAATTTAGATAACACAATAAATGTGAAAATACATTATTAAGATTTATATTTTCAATTAGAAAAACATACTAAATGAAGATTAGAAAAAATCAAAATGGCTTATAATAAGGACCCCAAGGAATACATATGTCAAAAAAAGATCTTATATGGTTTACAGTAAATAATCTAAGCTCTTAACTAAATTATTCAAGAATTGTATCTCGTATATTAATTTAATTAGCTCCTCTGATATTATTAATTATATTCAACCCATGTTCACACTTCACAGAATGGCTTTACATTTTAGAATATTGTTATGTATATAACCAAACTCACATAAAAGTTCCCAATTTTTATTTTAGTTGAAATATATAATATTTGACAATTTGCAGTTGATTGTGCTAATGATTTTTCGTTTAAGTTTGTTCTTTTTTTTCTTTTTGCTGATCAGATCTATCTTTCAAACTAATCATCTATGAGTGCAACCGTTTTCCACCCAAAAAAAAAAAGAAAGTGCAAGGAAAATTTCCATAGAGTTAAATGTTACAAATATTACAACAACTATTCCAACGAAAAATAAAATTACTTTTATTTTATTAATTTAGTTAATTTGATAAACTGTGCCTTTTTTATTTTCGGGACAGATGGGCATCTGAAATAGAAGATCCTATAATGACTTCTTCAATTAAAAACTTAAAAAAAAAAAAAAAAAAAAAATCAGGAAACAAGCTGTTCACTTGACTTGACTTGACTTAAAAGTACACAATGATCAGCTAGTCTGGCACAGAAAGGATCCGGTGATCTAGCAATAATTTCTAACGTTAATCATACGATGAATTTATATACGGTGATTTCGAATTCTGATGGTCATTCGGCGATGATTTCTAACCCAAAGTTTACGTCTGGATAGGTTCAATTGTCCAATTTAATGTATACCAGTGGAGCTGTCACAGAAGTAGATGTTGGATCCATTTGGCGTTACAGAAATGTTTAGTACGCTAACAAAAATGAAGATGCTAGTGAATGTGATACTAGTTAGGTACCTAAGCGGTAATGTTTCAAATACTAAGTCATTTTATTTCTTTCTAAATTTTATTTATTATTTTTTCCCAATTAAAGATGAAACCTTCAAAAAAATTTAGAATATAATAATTATGAGAACATAAAAAATATGAAAATACGTTTTTAAGATTTTATTTTCAGAACAAAATAAATGAAATTCAAGAAAAATAGAAAAGTCTGATGATAAAGATTGGAGGGAAGAGTTTTTTAAAATACTACTTTGGAATCGAATCCTGTTTAAAGTGGGATGGGTTTTATAAATGTGTAAAAAGAATGATAATGTATATAAAAGACAATATAATAACATAAAGTAACGGCTAAATAAATGGGGATTATTTCGAATATGGTAACTGGTTTCTTATGACGAATTCCCGATGTAAAACAAAAAGAAACTTATCGAATGCAAGTAGTACCAGACAATCAAGGAAAACTGCCACATATCAATTTTTTTTCTGCAAAGAAAAACATGCTTAATTTTTCGAGGCCCTAAAACTTGAAAAATTATCTCATACTTGGTGCATCCACATTTTGTGTGCAGCAAATCTAATAAGAATACTTTTCAGTTTTACGACCCTCTATTTTTAGCAACTTTTATAATGTCTACATGATCTCGTTCACTTCTTGTGTGGTTAAGAATACTCTTTCTGTCCTAAGGAAATAGTTCACAATGAGTTTTTATGTTTATATTAAATTTAGTATAAATTTCAAAAATCAGTGTGGAATATCTTTCAAGGATGGAGTGAGTTACTATATAACAATAATTGTGTTATACAAATCTAAACAAGTTGTTATATGTTACATTAGTCACTAATAACTTATCACTTTTTTAAGCATTTTAAGTTGTAACAGAATGAAAATTGAAAAATGTTTCTAAGGTAAGCCAGGGCCATCAACTTCCCTAATAACTGATGCAACATCACGATTCTGATCGACTAATTATGCGCATTTTCATCATTTCTGTATAAATTTAGAATATCGATTATTTACAAAAGTAAAATAAAATAAGTACAAACCTTGTTTGTGAAAAAATCAAAAGAGTATAACCATCTCTATTCTCGAACTTATATATATATATATATATAATTAGTGCTTAAAAGATTCTAAAAGATTAATTATACGCACCCATATATACTATTACATCGGCACGTATTACACGCCATATTATGGAGTTCACTAACTTCTGATCTACTAACTTTAATAAGTTGACACTATTCAAAAGTAGATATAAGATTGAGTAATAAAGAATAACTTCGTGTGCCTTGATCGGTACAAGCATATGTCGTAGGTCGGACGTCAATGCTTCACAATCCGTATGGGCTTTGACTCGTCAAAAACCAAAGGTCGAGGCTTGATGGAGTGTCAAAAGATAAATTATTGCCTCCGCTTGAAAGAGTGAGAGTACTTGGAGTGAGACCGCCTTAGTCTGCATAATTATTCCCAATGAAGAGGTGATTTTCCATGCCCATGCCGCCATTCTCGTATTTGGATGAAAAGAGCCATGAAACTGGATAAATGCTTACAAATTAGGTTGGTATATGGGACTTGATTACCTTCTACAGGAAGAGGGACAGGACGAGGAGGTTCATTAACAGCAGTTAACCTTTGTAGTCGTTGTTTGTGTATATTGACTTCACTTTGAATAATCCTCCACGAAATTACTGGACTACAAGCTTGATTTCGCCAAATTTTATTAACCGCCGTTTATATCAATCTGTACAGTAATCAAGCTTCTAGTCCAGTAATTTTCGTGCTTGCTTTTAGATAATACTTGTCAAGTTGTCAACAGTGAGGACTGTATTATAAGAGAATATAAATTATTTATTTGGTTGATAAAAGAAACAAAAGTATTAATCATACATATGTAACATATCGTACGTAGATAAATAAATAAATAAAAATGTACGTAGATTAATTATTAAAGATTGGATGAAAATTGGAAAAAAACACCTCCAAATGAATGTGTTCCCAACCAAATCATAATTTTTTTTCTGTATGAAAATACTTCTAGACACAGCGTCGCTAAACCTCAAAAACGTAGTTTTCATTTTATTTTGGGAGAAGAAACGAGTTACTGTTTGAAAGTTATACATGTGAAATCCCTAAATGCTTCATTCTCATAGTTTCATTTTTCAGGAACCAACTATTATTTGAGGGTGTTTATTCGATTTTTATCCTCCAAATTTATGTCATCATTTATGTATGTCTATCTTAATTGTTTAAAATAAAGTTGTCGTGCACTCTAGATGAAGATTAAATTTCAAAGATGTCATTTTTACCTTCGTGATTGTTCCATTTTGCTGAATTATATATGTTGATTTACTTCATAATGTTAGTGTGCAACGGTGCATTGAGATCTAAATTGTAAACATCGAAATTTGGTTCGGCCATGTTCAACGTAGAGGCTCAAATTTTCCGTTCATCGCAAGAAAAAAAAATACTAATGGAAATTACAAAAATGAAGACAAGAAGAAGAAAGGCTCAGTTTGACACACAAAAACGGAATGTGTAACACCCCGATAAACACTATTAACTAAAAATAGATCTACTTTCTGGAGGTGTGGACTGTGGAGTCCAATCTAACAAGACCACACGTTTTTTCGTCAACAACAAGATGCTACGAATTTTATGGGAATGACTGATTATGAACAACTCACGTTAAAAAAAAATGCACAAGATCGAATGAAATCCATAATGATGATTAAAAACAGAACTAAAAATGGAGAAAATTGTTGTTATTTTGGCATATTCGTCCTTCATCTTTTAGGCAACCGGGTAAGAAGGGTTCATTGCAATACCACAAAGGCCAGCAGGACCATAATCCCTTCGCATACGGATGTATCCACCCTCACCCCATCCAACTCCATATGAGTTCTTCACCAACCAATAGTTGATTCCTTCGGGACTCGTGCCGTAGCCGACTACCGTTACACCGTGGTTTAAATCGGTCCCACACGAGCCCGTAAAAATGCCTCCGGCATAGAATTGGAATTCCGGCCCGCGAGCATCGATAGCCACGGATACCGGTTGGTTGGCCGCGGCAGACAGGAGCGCGGCCTCGTTGTACGGAGGCACATCCTCGTACCCTACAATCGAGGCAACCCGGCTCGATTCCGCATTAGCATTACACATGCCTTGCATACCGATGTATGGATAGTTGGCTTCGGTCGTAAGGCCGTGGTTCGCGGCGGTGAACCCGAATGCATCATCCATATAACCTCCACTGCAACCATGACTTCCGAAACCATTGGCACAATCAAGAAGTTCTTGTTCAGATAATGAGATAAGAGCTCCGGTTCTTATTTTGTGAATTCCTTCCATTGCCGCAACAGCTGAAAATGCCCAACAAGATCCTGTGTGCATTATCATATTCCAAAAGTAAAATAAAATGTCAATCAGTATATGTAACATCCTCGTAGACTGAGCTAGTAACTGTACATTTTCAAGTAGTTTTATGAGTAGAAAACTTATTTAAAAAAAAAATTTACCACATTTTCCTTGGTACTTGACTCCTGTAACTGCACCCATTGCTCTCCAATCCATACTAGGTGGAGCCGCATCCAAATCATAATCTTCATACCTAAATAAATTACTGTCTAGGTTATATCCTTTTGGTTTTGGTAATGGAATGTACCCATTGTGAGCAGCATGAAACTCGTCATTTGTCAAATCACCAAAATGGTTGATTGCCAACTTGTAAGAACGATTCTCAGCCTTGTTGAATGCCTCAATCATCTCAAAATTCTCCTGAAAAATCTTGAAACGATGGGCTTTCTCGACATCATCCGCGTAAACTCGCCCGTGTCGCGAAATCCATTCCTCATGTCTATCAACCATTGACATTGACACTACTTCTTTCAATTCCCGGGACATCACCGGAGAAGCGAAAAGTGCAATCACTACTGCTAATGCTACAGAAAAAAGGTTGGAAGTTGCTAGTTTCGAAGCCATTAATTGCTCGAAATATGGAAAGAAATGATGGAAAACTAGTGTGTGATTTCGCAGTAGTGTTACAGTGCGATATTCATCCTAACGCTTTGGTTCATATTTATAGTAAAAATGAAGGAAGAAGAAAGATAAAATCCGAAGCATATCATATCCCATAGCCGTTGTTCCTAAATCCTAATTCTTCGAGTTTTTTTGACAACATTTTCTCAAAATAAAAGAAGTCTAAAGGATCTTTCTCAAAGACCGATTCTTTCAATCGCTATCTACAATTCTTTTACCATTTCATGAGGCTCGTGACGTCTCTCTCGATATTATTACTGAGTAATTACTAATATATACCATTGTACCTAATTCATCAAATCTAGGAGAAAATCTAACCTATCATATAATTGTAAAAGTATATGATAAATAGTTTTTACCGATTACAACTATTTCATCATCATTATTATAACCAATTGATTATAGACCCGCTCCTCACCAAAAGAGAGTCAGTGTTTATAAAATGCTAGGATTTATTACATGATTTTAAATTGTTTGGGCTAATTACATTTTTTTTTTTTTTTTTTTTTGGTAACGGAAGAAGTAATGGATAATACTATATGGACAAATATGAAGATGCTTTTGATAATAGTTTAAAATATTTCATGACTTGTGAGCTAGTTTTGAAGCTTAACCATGTTGAAGCATGTGCAATTAATCTAAAGTTCAGGGTGGAAATCAGAATTAGCCATAGCCTGAATCCTTTCCGCGGTTGTGTTTTGCATTTCTTGAGTCAGCTAAACTATGTAGAGTATATGTTTGGGGCGGATGAGTACTCGTATGTTAAATATTTACTTAAACTGCTTTCAATGTGATCTGAATAGATTTGTTTATGAGAATGGTAAATTTGAGTATTCCAATTATTGATACAGCATAACAAAAAGAGTAATGATATTCAACTCGCTCCATAAAATTTGATCTACTCTTATTTCTACTCACATGTACGTTTATCTCATTGTCATTCCACATCTCTCTACTGGTCTTGCTAGAATCAGAAGGAAGTTTACTTCTTGGTTCAACTCCAGTCTAGGTAGAACCAGAAGGTAAATTCGCCTTCCAATATTCGCATTCCCTGCAACATCGGGTTAGCTCATTTAATCCAGGGGCAGCTGCTTCTTGCATTTATTTTCTCGTCCTTGTAAAGAACACAACTCCTAAGTACCCTTACCTGGAACTGATTTAGCAACTCAGCCAGCTTTTCTTGCAGACAAATAATTTTATTAAATTGGTAAAACCGAATGGATGGCCATAAGTCCCGTCTAGCAGTCCAATTTGCCAAATGACTCATAAATAATATGGTAGGTTCACCTTTTCAAAAAAATATGGTAGGTTTAGGAGAATCCCCTGGTTTATTAAGGGGACATTATAGCTAAGCAGACCAACTTGAATCTGAGTTTTCCATTCATTTGATCGAGCACTCGTAGCCTAGTACACAAATGACTCAATTTAATTGCTAACCTTATTCTCCTACTTTTATTTATTTCCCCAAAGCCGAGCCACTAGCTTCCTACGAACTCATCTAAGTTTAAATTCCAATCAAATGCAAGGATTACCAGAATTCAGCATCAAAGCTGAGATATATAACTGAAGCACAGGGTTATTTGACATGTCAACTGTTACCTCTACACATCCACACATCTAATGAATGAAAGACTCTCTAGAGTTTGTCAAAAAAGAAAGACTCTTTAGAATTTCCAGGTCAAAGGATACAATATCGCTCTCTTTATCAAGTGATTAAGAAATGGTATGTGTTTACACCTACCTAAACTCAATTTCAACAATATGGCTTTCTTCATTAAAGTATAAAAGAATTGTACAAAAAGAATCTATTAGTAATAGGCAGTGAAATAACTCACGTCTACCAGGGCTGACTGCAAAACTGATTCCTCACTCTTTAAGCTTTTGAAGAGCCTGCATGTTCCCTCTCAACATGTTCGACGAGTTTCACAGGATCACGAAAGCCTTTACTACACTTGGGGCAGACGTCAACTGTGACCTTCATAACACCATTCCTTTCATGTACTTTCTCCACATGACTTATCAAGTCTGCGACGGATGAGAAGCGCAAGTTGCATTGTGGACATTGTTCTACTTGCCTGGCACTACTGCTTCCACCCTGGCTGATGCTACTACCATCACTGCTCTTCGTCTGCAAAACTTGATTGAATTCGTTGCTTATTCTTGACATTCCAGCTTCAGCTGTAGCCTTGACCGAAGAAGCTGCCTTCCATAAGCTTGATGTCCAGCTACCGGAAGTTGTGCCTGAACCCTGCCTCGATGGCTCTTGTTTTCCACTTCTATTCAAAAAGCTGCTAAACTGAAATGCTGGTTCTGGTTTCTTAGGTCCAGGACATTTGTGATCTGGTCCAAATCTATGCTTCAAACAATGCTCGATTGTACAATCTCTACACCTAATTTTGTTTGAAAATGTTAGAATCTCTCTGCAGCCGGGCACAGGACATTTTCTTTTCTTTGTGACTTTGTCATAGTTTGTTGGGTCACATTCAATATTTACATGAGACTCCCAAGTGATATTTGGGTTTTCATCTGGGATTAGGCGAACCCCTTTTGCACAGAGAGGACAAATGACAACCGTCACATCATTTTTGTTGGCATTTGGACATTGGTGTCTGCCATAGCTCCGATGGTCTAAACAAAATACCTGCAAGACCAAATTGACCGGAAATAAACAACAGCATAACTACGAATACAAACAGGTAAGCACAAACAAATTAATAGGAACAGATTGACTTGTTTACAAACTAATCAGCATAACTATAAAGCCAGACTAATCAAATTCATGAAGACACAGAAAAGCCTGGCTCAATTAGAAGGCCAAATCCAATGACAACATCCAAAGATCAACCCATAGGCTTACATGAAGTTCAAATACAAGGAAGAGCATTCTTCCAACTAAAACACGCCATAAACAATTTCATCATGATTTAGTTAAATGCTACCATCATGGTAAAGACACTAAATCTAAATTCCCATCATAAGTGATTTGTTTTTGTCGCAGGAGTGTCAATCTCCCTTCTTTCTACAGTTAAAAACTCGTCCATATGATCCTCACAAAAGGTATAATCCATAGCAAAGATCCACATTTACCTTAATTCCCAATACATGTGAATTATTTTTGTTGCTTAAGGTCACTCTGCCTTGTTTCTTAGTCAAAGCATCTTCTTCTTAACCCCATGCTGAATCATTAACAACTTAATTTTCTTAATAACACAGACATGTCCCTAATTGCCAAAAACAGCGAGGCACTTTTCTCAATTTAACAAACCAAAACCCTCCAAATTCCTCAAATTCCTTATTGAATAAAAGCAACCAACACAATTCAATCCTCAAGAAAGGCAAAACAAAAAAGAAACCTGAACTTTCTTCAACATATAATAACTCCCAAATCTTTTTTTCAATTCACCATACCAGAGCAACAAAATTTGAATCACAACAAGAAATTATTTTCTAAGGAATTGAATTCCAAAACCCAAAAACGAAAAAAGAGAAAAAATGCAAAAACAAAAAAATGTCAAGATTTTACCTGCTGACAGGAATCGCAGGTGAATGGCAAAAAGTCAATCTGCCTACAATCTTCAACGCTGCAATGCTTGCCAAGATTAGGAAACGCAGGAGTCCCCATTCAATTCAATCTCTCTCTCAATACAAAGATCCGATCCTGATCTTCCTTTGAGAAAAAAGTTGAATTGAAGGGAAAAAGGATGAATTTTGTCTGGAAGATTCTTCTTCTCTCTGTACACAGGTAAAGAAGAAGAAAAGAAGTGGCGTTTTGTGGAATATTTAAATGAATATGGAACTCCCGAATGGACAATGGAGAAGGGAACCGCGGAATCCTCGAGGTCGGTCAACCTCAATTCTGGTGGGTATAGGTAGGGATTAAGTCGTCTGAAGTGGAACTTGTCTACGCTTTTTCCTTGGTCAACTTTTTTCCTTAGACATTTCCCAATTCGGTTTTTATTTCAAAATAAATAAATAAAAAATAATTGTAAATTATTGCCCTGGAGTTGATGAAATTACTATAAAAAAAAAAAGAGACTATATTGTGTTGTGTGATCATAACACATGCTAAGTCAACATTTTTTTCTGTAGTGGTTTTCTTATTTATATTATGAAACCGAAAATCGAATTTCATTCAAAACGTGATCTGAGTTCTGAATATCCTGATTTGAGCCACGAGGCTCGACAACAAGAAATTTAAACATGATTTTCTTTTTTCTTCCGGAAAATTCAAAGATGCAAATATAGAATTGGATAGGCACATTGGGCAAATTCATCCATCACTCTTACATGATTTTGATTGTCACGCCCTCGTGGATGGACCGACCTGGTCGTTATTCGTGTTTTTATTCTTACTATAGCCAAAATACTTACACCACCGATGTTATAATAACTCAAAAAGCTACATGCAATGTATTACTTTTTTGCATTCATTTCTTCATGCCTAATCCAAGAGAAAGGATACTTCAACTTCTTCTCTAATCGGAGTAATACGACGCACTGTGCGTGATTGCTGAATTACCTTCCAGACCTATGTTTTCAAAACTGGAAAGGAAGGTGAACTGTTAGCGTGTTGGTAGGTTTATCGGGGTTAACGGGTTAGTTTGTTCCTCGAAATTAGTAAAAACCGGTTAAAAAATATTTAAAAATTAATTTTTTAAGAGATATATGCAAAAATCGGTTCAACCGATACCGATTTCCGGTCAAACTGCGATTTTGTCCAGGTTTGACGGAGTATGATCGGATTATACAGAATCCGATTTTTTTTGGAAACCGGATCGGTGAGACTTTCGGTTTAAGGGCTAACTGATTAGACTGCTCGGGCCAGTCCGGTTTAAAAAATGCAGCTTCTGACCCGTCATTGAAAAGAAAGAAAAAGACTCAACTTCTTGGCTCTAGCATCACATGATGTGCAAAAGAGAAGTTCTTATCGTGTAGACATGTACGATATTTTTTCTTTTTGTTTCTAAATGATTGTGTATATATAGAATTTATGATGAAAACGTATAATATTACCAAGGAAAAGTAAACAAATCATATATGTTCGAGAAGTAATTAGCTATATCTTAGCCATATATATCTCCACTTTTCTTATAGAAAGAGAAATGAAACAACCCCTGCAGCTTACAAGAAAATTTTATCTATATATATTCAGTCTCCAATTATACAATGTATCTGCACTTAAAAATATTCTAGAAATTCAATCACGAAGAAACAATTTGAAGAGGAATCTTCTCACTAATTGACCCCATAATTGTCAGTTAAGTGTTGTAGCCTTGTTACATCCTAAAGTTTTATTATTTGAGTCAATAAAGTTCACTGGCTAACTTGCGTGCGTCGAGTAATTACGTGATTAATCTAACAAAAAATAAAACTCAGAATTAAATGTTGAAGTGTTTTCTAATCTCTTATGCATTCGGAAAAAATATGTAATCACTCGTACGTCATACATTCATTCGTTCAGCTTGTACTTGATGTCTAATTCATACCTTCAATACAACTCAAATCAGCCTGTTAATCGAAAATGTAGCCCTGATCAGCAATGGATTTGAATTCCCTTCCCTATTATAAATAACAGCACCGTTGAAACTTTTCAATCACAAAGCAATTTTTCTTCGATCGCAGAATCAAGTTCTGCTCCGATCAGCTTCCGGCCTGGCTGCTTTCACTGCTTCATCACCAAGGTTAGTTTGAAGCACCAATACATGTTAGTATTAATTGTGATGCTACAAACTTTATTCTTTGTTTAATTTTTGTTACGTTAAAGCACCAATAACATGTTGTTACATATTGTTCTAAACTTTTTGTATCTATCTATTTAAGTGACTAATGTTACTATTTGTTTACTTTAGACAAATATAAACATGTTTTAAAAGGTTAAAATCTTTGTATTGTGTATGACTGATCTGCAAAATCCAAAGATAGTGTTCTTTCGCATTATGAGCTTCATACTTTTCTATCATGTTACACTTTAAATCCATATACTATTTGTTGAATTTTTTTTTTTTAAGAAAATTAATTAGTATAACAAACTTCCATACATAGATCAACGTTGTTTTTCGTTAGACGAACATAAATTTGTACATTATTTTTTTCTCTCCTCGTACTCTTATTATTAATGTTATCATATTTTCTGGTGCAGTTTGAATATGGGGAACATGAAAGCATACCTGGCAATAATGCTTATTGGAATTATGTTTCTGCCTTGGTTGGGGAATTCAAGCTCGTCCGATTCGGACCAAAGTCCTTCAACATTGCAATATAATGTCCTAAACTTTGGTGCAGTTGGGGATGGTTCTCATGACGATACCAACGTATGTAATTAATCAAATTGAATTTTTCCCTCTCCATCCAATTGTTTTTTTCCTTATTTACGTAGCTTCCACAATTTTGTTAATATTAATTCAACGTTGATATATACTTATTTCCATTTATTATTTTGTTTTAGGCTTTCATGAAAGCGTGGAAAGCAACATGCAAAATGGCATCACGTTCTCCTCCAACAATGGTGATTCCTTCAGGAAAGAAGTTCTTAATCCATCCAGTGGAGTTTAAAGGTTCATGCAATTCTCCACAAATTAATGTTCAGGTTCGTGTGTGTGTATATATATATATATATATATATATATATATATATATATATAATTTATTCTACTCGATTTTTGGATCACTTCAACATTAATTCTTTTTTTTTTAATGATATTGAAGTTATTTAATTAATTTTATAAATTTGTTGTTTGCAGATTAGTGGTGAAATTATAGCACCCAAAAAACCCTCTAACTGGAAGTGCAAAGAAGATGCTTGTCGTGTTTGGATCCTCTTCAAAGACTTAAAAGGTCTCAATTTGTATGGTGATGGCAGCATTCATGGTCAAGGACAAAAATGGTGGGATATGGAGGTAAGTAAACTAAACCTATTATTAAATTAAGCCATATGGTAATAAATGGTTATATCTGATTTAATTAGCACCATTGTTGCACCAGTTGAATTTGTTGATTTAATATTTTAATATTTTACCTTACTAATTTCTTATAATTACTTTCTTTGAATTCCTTTTCTAGGGTCGTAAAAAGCCAGCAGCAATGCAGATTGAAGACTCGAAGGACGTGAATGTGATAAATCTGAATTTTAAGGATAATCCCAGAATGCATTTTATCCTTAAACAATTGCAATCAGTTTATGTGAACAATGTCACCATTGTTGCACCTGAAGACAGTCCAAATACCGATGGAATTCATATCACTGGTTCTACTAACGTTACCATCGAAAATTGCAATATTGGCACCGGTAATGTTTTCTTTTCTTTTTTTTTTTTTCATTCTTCAAAATTTTCAGCTCTCTTTCTGTTCTAGAATTAATCGTTTTCATTAAAATATAGTTAAATAAATAATCTTTCGTTGGGATGGAGGGTATGAATTATTTTACTAGAATTTTCTTGTTGTTCGTGGAAAAACGACATAAGTTGAATATATCTTTTGCACGTATTTAATTGACTACTAAATTATTCAGGCGATGACTGTATCTCAATTGTGGATGGATCTTCATATGTGAAAGGTTCCAATATTTTATGCGGTCCTGGACATGGCGTAAGGTAAAACATTTATAATTTATTTTTTTAGTTTTTTTTTAATGTTTTTAAAATTTTCTGTCTTTGTTTGAAAAACAGTATTGTAATGTGCATTTTTTATGTAATTAAACACTAAATATATTTTGAAATTTTAATTGTAGCATTGGGAGTTTGGGCAAAAATGGCGCAGATGACAGAGTAGAACACGTTGAGATGAGAGATATTGTGTTCACTAACACTCAAAATGGTGCAAGGATCAAAACATGGCAGGCAAGTTTCTAAAGTAGAATAAATTCTTACTAGAGTTATAATTTAATATTCTAATATATGACTTACCGTTTATTCAATTTAACAAAATAATTTATTCTTACTCCTATATATGTAATAGGGTGGAAGAGGTTTTGCAAAACATATACTATTTGAGGGAGTACACAGTAACGGTGCCAGAAATCCTATCATTATTGATCAATTTTACTGTGACCACACCAAGTGTACAAACCACGTAGTTATCTATTGTTATTCCTCCTGTAGTCTCTCATGGTATAAGTATTTTGAACCATAATATGAATATTGTGATTGATTCAATTTACTATGGTTTATATTGTGTTATTTCTGGTAGGAATCGGCTGTACAAGTTAGTGACGTGACATTCAGAAATTTCACGGGCACATCCAAAAAGTCAATCGCCGTGAAGTTTTCATGCAGCAAGACAGTTCCATGTAAAAATATTATCGCAGAAGACATCTACCTGGTGTCATTAGATGGGAAAGAAGATACAAGCTCGATATGTGAAAACGTCAAAGGAACTATCTACGGACGTCAAGTTCCTAAAGTATCCTGTTTGAAGCAATCTAAGGACTCTGATATTCACCATTAGTTATATCTATCTAGCGAGATTAGTGGTAGATAGCGTAAATATTATTCTTTTTAGTCAAATTTTAAGTTTTTTTTAAAGTATTTGAGTGAATAATTTTTAATTTTTACCGTTGTGAAATGATTTTTTAGTAATTAACTTTGGAAGGATTTATCTTTTAAGCACAAACTAATATTTTACTTATGCATTTAAATTAACTTTCAAATTTGGTCAAGATATGAACTTCTTATACATAAAATAATTCAAACTCGACTCAATATTTTATTGAATTTGTAATTAGTTAGATTATAGCTTCACATGTATATACCTACCCATGAGAATATAAGGTGTTAAGTTTTCTTTTGATAGAAGTATTATGATGTTTTTTTCTCTTGAGAAACAAAACAAAAAAGCAAAATTTAGTCCTCTAAACCCTTTTCTTTTCTCTTTGCTTCTTTTAAAAATTTCGGAAAAAGGAAAACAATTAATTGCTCTCACCTATGATGTCATGACTCTGAGGTAGAATTACAATTTTCAAAAGTTTAGGGTTTAGAATAAATATTACAGGTCATTAATGAAGATAAGTCAGCATTAGGGCTTAGCGTGCAATTAATGCCTTAATTTCTATTTTCACCATCTTATATTATTTTGGGAATTAGCATATTTATGACTTGTAATGATTGGATGTAATCAGCTTGGAAATAATACAACTCTGATTTTTAGAAAACTCTCCTTGCTTCCAACTGCTTCTCTCCATCTAATTTCGGTTATGGAACTTCTTCTCCTTTTGCCCCCATTGCTGTTGATGGAGATTTCTTTACAATTAACCTGTGGGACCTGACATGTGAATTAACGAAGGGTCAAAAAACAAGAGAATTGGTTGCATTTGTACGATCAAAGTGTCACGAACCAGGACTTAATTGTCCTCTTTTGTTAGTATAGGGACTCGATTGGATTTCTGTAACTTTTGAGACTATATATAGTCCTGATGGTTCATTTAGACAATTATCAAAGAATATTGTATTGAAGTAAATTTTCAGAAAATTCTGACGTTCCCAATTCCTTTCAGGTTCTCGAACCCTAACCATCTTGACTAATTTTCGTCTTCCTTTGTCAATCCCAATTCCGTTTTGGTGTGACAGTCAGGCAGCCTTGGATATCACTGCCAATCCGGTGTTTCATAAACGAACTAAACATATAGAGATCGATTGCCATGTAGTACAAGATCAGTTTAAAAAGGGTTTTATTCTCCCTTCCTATGTTTCTACCAAACTACAGCTTGCAGATTTGTTCACCAAGGCTCTTTCTTCCTCCATTTTTCAGTTCTTGTTGTCCATGATGAGCTTATGGAATGCTCATCTTGAGGAAGGGGTGCAGGAAATGAACAAAGCAGGGTTGAATGGAACATGGACATCTCAGCTAACTTGGATTAATCCACCGTCTTGCTTTCCTCTTTCTCTTGATCTCAGCAACATACCTTGGCGGGAAAAAGCGTTTGACTTGAAGGAGCAGCAACCGTTCGATCTAAAGTCGGTTACAGGATTGGATGGCTAGGATTGATTCTGGAACTTAAGTCAGTTTAGTCAAATTGGTTAGCCGGCACATTCTAGAAACTAGAATATATATATAGATAGATAATGATTTGTAATAGAGTGATGAAAAACAGATTCATGCATTCCAGAAACTTCTTTCTACATAATCTTCTTGATTTCATTTCTTCCCTGCAAAAAAAAAAAAAAAACAAATCCTCCGATCAACGGAATTTCCCCATTTCTGTCGATACCACCACCAGAATCTGACAAATTGGTCTCAGAGCATGTCGATTCTCATCAACTCTGCTTGGTTTTCATCAATTTCTTTCGCTAATCATCTGATTCATTCATCTTCTTCGATCGATTTTTCTTGAAAATCGGTTGGCTCTTTTGATTCATCTGTGAATTCGCGTCTCGAGAGCATTGTCATTTCAGATTAAACTTTTTTAGTAGCTTCTCTTCCGGTTCCTATCGAAATCCGTCAGATCGATACAAGATCTTGAGGGTTTTTCTGCAACTGCTGCAAATTTCTGGAAGCTTTTGTCTCGAAATCGCAATTGCTCAAATGATGAGGTCCAGAAGCATCGTAGAATTGCCAGCCGAGGAAGCAGTACCGCAGGTTGAAGCGGTTACGGCGAGATTGGATCAGATCAATGGGCGTTTCTCCGATCTTGACTCAAAGATCAACAAGTTGAACGAGACAAGGTTTGAGCGAATGATGGAGATGTTTTCGAATTTCCAAATTCCCAATCCTGAGAAGGCTCCAATGCTGGAGACAGTGTCACCTTCAACATCAACGGTTAGCCGGACTGCGCTGCCGTAGAAGACTTCAGACTTCGGGAAATTTTCTTACAAGGCAGCAACAGAAAAAGGCGCTCCGTCAGCACCGGTCAATTTTGCCAGGGGAACGCGTATAGAGAAATTGACTGAGCCACGCACCGTTGACACATGTCGGAATTAACAGCAGCAGGTTAGCCATGGCCCATCGTGGTATCAACAACCAAGATTGGAGCTGCCTGAGTATTCCGGTGACACTCTTCCCTAGTGATGGCTTCAAAAGTGCAGGAAATACTTCATGATTCACCAAATTACGGAGGACAAAATGGTGGACTATGTGGAGATTTTTCTGGATGGGAAGGTAGAGATATGGTACCAGGGAATCAAACATCATTCTGGTAAGCTCTCTTGGAATCAATTTTCTGAATTGTTGACTCGTAGGTTTTGTAGTAAAGGAGGGCAAAGCTGTGTAGAAAAATTTAGTAAGTTGTTCCAAACCGGTACTGTGAGTGATTATCAGGAACAATTTGAAGAATTGCATTTGAGACTGTTGTCTTTGGGATATGATTTTGATGATGAATAATACGTTTCATGTTTTCTAAGTGGTCTAAAAGAAGAGGTTAAGTCTATGGTTAGGATGTGGAACCCTAAAACCTTAGACGTGGCTTTTGATGTTGTTGTTTGTCAAGAAAAGAACTTAGCTGCTATGTTTGGTATTGGTCTGTTGGATTCTGGTCACTCAGGATCAGCCCTTGTGCCTATTAATCAATCTGGGGATCAAACTAAGTCCTTAGTGCATCCTGTTAGCAGCGGGGATAAGGGCAATGGAATTAAGCTGTTACAAAATGAGGAAAGCTTAAGTTTTGATGCTAAGACAGATCCTAAAACAGAACTTGGTGATTAATTGGTTAAGGAAGCTAATTCTGGGAAGACTCACAATGAGGGTGGTAATGTTAAGTATGTTGGGAACAAAAGTTTTGTGAATCGTTATGTGAAGAAGATGTCCCCTCAAGGATTCCAGTATAGATCAAACAACCAGCTTTGTTATAAGTGTGGAAATCGTTTCAAACCTGGGCACGTTTGAAAGTTAGGTCAAGTAAACGTCATGCTGTGTGAAGATATGGCCAATGAGCTTACCTCTAACAATGTTATTTGGATTGTTGATGGGGAGATGGTCGACCTTAATGATCTGACTTTGGAATTTGAAGATGGTAAAGGTTGAAGAATGGTTATGATCCAGATTGGCTGTTGTTTAGTGTCTGATTCAGGTTTTGAATGTTTCCTTGAAGACCAGTTCAAGTTTCTGTTTAGTTTTAATAAAGCTTAGAAGTTCCAGCATTGGAGATTTTTCAAGTTCCTGCCAACTTTGTTATAGGTGGATTCCTGTTTTTGTCATTTCTGCTGTATCTTGTTACATTTGTTAACATTTGGTAAGAGTTCTAATTTAGCTATTGTTGGGAATAAGGTGTTAGGCCGCCGATATCATTTATTTCAATTTAGTTTGTGACAGTCTTGGGACAAGACTGAAATAAGAGGGAGAGATTGTCACAAACCAGGACTTGATTGTCCTCTTTTGTTATTATAGGGACTCGATTGGATTTCCTATAACTTTCGGGACTATATATAGTCCGTTTAGACAATTATCAAAGAATATTATATTGAAGTAAATTTTCAAAAACTTCTGATGTTCTCAATTCCTTTTGGGTTCTTAAATTTTAACCGTCTTTTTCCATCATCCGATCATCGGAATTTTCTCATTTCTGTTGATTCTACCACCGGAATCTGACACAAAGTAACGTCAAAAGCTACAACTACAAATTGGGATGATACAACTTATATTTTATAATAGGATTTATACTATTTTCGAAAATAAATTAAAAAAAAGAGAGAGAGAAAAGTGAAAGAATAGTAAGATTTGCAGATTCAGGAAAAGAATGAAGGGTTGAGAAAAAAAATCAAGGACACAAGAAAAAGAGAGAAGAAACTAGAAGGAGATTATCATCAAAGTTCTCATAATGTTGTTGTCGTACAATTTGGATGATATAATTACCATAATCTACCTAATAATTTACTTATTTAACTCAAGTAAGATCCAATGACACCACTTCCCTGAAAATTCAAATCCTTGCAGATAACCCTTGAACATTTTCATTTTACCTTCTTGCTCGAGCTGTTTCTGACAATTTTAATTGATGATTCAATTTGCTACGAAAGAGAGAGGTGATAGATTGCAGCAATGATGCTTTGTCAGGGAAGAGGAAGGTTGCTAATGTTTCTTGTAAGCTCCGTCGGGGGGAATATTTCTTGTTATTTCTTTTTAAATTTATTACCCTTTTTGTAATGGGCTAGGCTTAGTTCAGCTCATTACAAATATAGTGTTCTAATACAATGAGGGCCTATGCATGCCTTGCATGTAACTGTGAAGTGAGCTTCTTCTGCAACCTAAGCTAAACGAAAACATTTGCTTCCAACTTATGCAACCTAACTGCCATTTCTCGACCCTGTCCAACATGATAATCCATGCTACATGATGCAAAGATATCTAAACTAATACCACCAAATAAATGAAACTCACAGAGAGCCAGCCAATTCTAGATCTATTCAACCCTCTCGAATTTATGAATGAAAAAGGTTTGATTGCTAGCTACAACCTCTTTATAAATTTCAAAACTTGTCGACAATTTTTTTTTAATGGAAGGAGACAAATAACAATAT